TTTAAACCTCATGAGGAACCTGGCTTTTGTCTACTACTTTCCCCCCCCCCCCCCCCTCCCGCAAAAAATAGCCAAGAGCCCATTTTCGTGAAGATTCACTCCTGCTAATAATCTAAGTAAAAGGTCAGCTTGCGTGATTTTATAAATAAAAAGTTTAAAATTTCACGAGGCATTTAAAGCATCTTTATTGAGTGTTCGGGAGGCACGCTGCTCTCTAAAAATGGAGGAAAGTGATTAAACCTCCTCCCGGTGGTCCTCTAATTGGCCAAGGTCGGTCGCTTAGTTAGTTGGCTGGTTGTTTGACTACAAGCAAATGGGCAAACAGCTGAGATATGCAAACCCTGCCCACGTGGTATTTAAGTCGGTACGCCGTGCCTCGTAAATGTCGCCTCCCCTAAACGAGCAGCCGAAGTTGGCCCCACGAAGGCACTTTCATAATCTCAATTATTGCACTGGCGGCTCTGGCTGCTGTTGCTGCTGTTTTTAACCGTCGGAAGTTCAACTAGATGCTTGCTTTGTGAGAGCGGCTACGCCTTGCCTCCCCCTCCTTCTCCAGTCTTTGTTCCTTCCTTTTGTGACCGTTGGTAGGTTTTTTTCTCTATCACCGGCATCTGCTAATTCCACTTGAGTGTTTTTTATTGCTTTTGTGTTAATCCAAATCTACTCCAGGTACTTGTTCATTAAATTGCATATGTAGAGATGGAAAGAAGAATTTGCGACCCAAAAATTGAGGAGACCGTAATGTAGACTCAAGCCCCATTTAAAATGCCTTCTCCCTGAAACGATGACTGTAGTCGTCTTTACCCAGGCTGTCACCACGGCCTCCTCAATGGCGAGTGAAGAAAACGGTCTCATTCGATTTTATACATGACTTATCTACCAGGGACGAAAACGGTAGCTGTGATTGCCGAGCTGAGAGGAGGTGCAGGTCATCCATTCCCCTCTACGTTAGATCTAGCGATGAATTTGTGATTAAAATGAAATAAATCTTTTTGCTCACTTTTGGTTAAAGGTAATATGTTTTCAGCCATTTCCCTCATTAAATATTGACACCGTCTCCCGGAGTACCAGTCAAACAGCGACGGAGAGACTTTCAAGTTATTCTTCTGCTAGTGTCAATGGCAGTCTACCTCCTTAGACCCCATAAATTTATCTTCAGCAATGGTTTTTTTTGTCGTTAGTTGGAAATAGGGGTTCTGTATACTCTGTTGGAAGCAAAAGGAGTGTTTGAATTAAAACGGGACTTTGGGTGCGAGTTCTGTGATTAGATTTTAAGAAGTGGAATTGGCATATCCTTCATTCGCATAGTCTCCAACCGCTTCATTTGTATTCATTAAAGTAATATCAGGAAAACAGTTTCGGAAAGAAGGGAATTGGCAGTATGGTTGAACCGGTTTGGGATAGTCCACTCTACCTCGTCATCGGTCCTGGTAGTTGGCGGTCAATCTGTATGCCCCCACTTATTTTGAAGGAGATCAATGTACTCTAATCTCACTACCTCCAGTAATGCCATCGATGCGATTCAAATTCTCCTTGGTAAATGGCTCCTTCAGCTCAGCGCAACAATCCACTCCTCTGTTGTTCAAAGGTGGAAGGCTTTTCTGGCGTCTGACGTGAGCCAACCTTTCAAAAGCACAAATCTTTGGAAATGATTTCATTCACTAGTCCTCATACGGGAAGACCTGTCGCCTTTTGCATCGGTTATCCTTTCCAGATCTTATTTTCCACGTGCCAGATGACTGCCGAGGGCTAAGGTGAGGGGGGAGGGTTAGAACCGCTACAATCAGCATCGTCATTGACGGATAAGCTTTACCGTACTTGAAGTTTGGATTTAGTGCATTCGTTTACAGGGAAGTTCGTTCGTTACACGTAGCTACACTTGCTTTTTATTGCTGCATATATTACCATCGCCGTAACAGGGCCTTTCCTTCTATGCGTGCGAAATCCGTGGTCCTCGTTTGATTTGAACGCCTGTTGCGCCCCTGAGGCAGAGGTAACTGGTGATGGTGGTATTTGAGAAGTATTTCACTGTCAATTATGCCAACGCGGACAGAGTAGGCCTTTCATTACGACTGTATCAAGGGTCGCAAAAGTGGAGAATCAAGTCTACTTGGGGATTCCAACTGCTCTTGTTTTTCTTTTGATCTCAAGCTGGTAAATTTTTTTTCAAGGACTGGAGATCAGAGTGCTTCATTGTGCATCAAAAGTGACATTGAAGATGCGGAACAATTGTCAAAAATTATAGCCTGTTTGGGGGTTAGGGTACGTGTATAGTTGCTATTCCCCTAAATTCGGAGTGGTCAGCTGACTTTTTGAACAACTATCCCTCCTGCTTTATTCCTCAAGTTCAAAGTTGATATCACAGTGATTGGTTTGACATCCACTTGACACAGTAGGTCACCAACACACGTTCCGACGCACCCTCAACATTGTTTGACTAGCGTCCACTGGCACTTGTGGATCAAGACTAGTAGGTCTTTTTTTACTCCTTGTGGTCGTGACGTCCGGGGCGCGCTGTAGTCGTCTCGCTAATAGGTTAGTCATCTTCGGACTTTAGAGTTCACTCATGGGTAGCAATTCCATGAGGAAGCTAAAATTACCTTCCTTGCATCCACACACACACTTCTACCTTCTCTTTTTCTTACTTCCTTCCCCCCTTTCTTGTCCCCTTCCTTTCTTCATTCCCTTCTCCTTTCCTATCAAGGGTAGCTGACTTGGTAGACAAAGGTAGACACACTTAGACACGGTCCGATACTACTACCTCGTCAGGATCTTCTTCGCCATTCCACTACCACATCACAGGGCCATCTGAAGCTGCTGATTGTGGTCAATCTTGCCGTCAAATATTGCTATGTATCAGTACGTCGAAGATGTCCAACTTCCCTTGGACAGAAGTTCACGCCAGACATGTGATCATAAATGGATGGCGAACTTGTTGACCCCCCATTCACGTCTTCGCCTGTTTCTCCTTTCCCATTTCAGTCCTACTACAGCCAGGCACAGTTCCATCTCACCCTCCTCGGCCATGCCGAACCGGTTCAAATCAAGATCAGGAAATCAAGGTACGTTTTTCTCCTCCGATTCCTCCTTTCTTATCCTTCTTTGCTTTTATTGCCATTCCTTATCGCTAGTGGTTGCATTAATCCTTTTGTGATCATCATCATTCACTTCCTGTTGCTGGCCTTCCCGATTTTCTTCTTGCAGCCTTGATGTAAAAAGACATTAGATGATTAGCAAGTATCATTAATCTTGGTACCAGATCAAAAAGGATGCTGTTTTTGGTGGCCTGCTACTGGCTGTACTGCTGCCAGGTTAATCATCACTAGCAGGTGCGTTGTGGATCGGATATTGTGTAATATTTGATGAGGTGCATTTATTAAAATATAGTTTATTTAACCCTTGAGTCATGGAACCATCGTAAAGATTCAGACTTGATCTTGCGATTCACTTCAACAAGTCGGATGCTTCCCTTCGTCATCGTCACTAAGTGGGCTTCTTGGTTTCGAGGACTTTGCGTAAAGACGTTTTCTACCGCGGAACGAACCAAGATGCAGCACCATGCGGAATAGTGTGGAAAGCAGATCTACTGATAAACGGACGCCATTTGGCAGTGTGAAAAGCTAATGACTGCACAAAGCCGAAGATAGTAAGGTAGGTAGACCAACGGTCGAACCGTGAGAAGGGTGCCCTTCTGGGAGGCGATTTTAATGTACTCTCGGTCCCACAAATAGGCTAGCCAGGTGCCATATTGATGACTTGAGCGAATTCTAGTGGTAGACAGCGAAGCTGATAAACTCATTCCCTCACCCACATTTCATGGATTTGTGTGTTCGTCAACCTGTATATCCAGCCGTCCCTCCATCCATTCCGTATCTGTTCGTTCATCTGTCTCAAACTAATTCGCCAATTTGAAGGAAATCTATTAACCCAACCGGGAAACTGAAGAACTAAATGATTTCGTATTTCCATTACCGATTAGAACACAAACAGTCGGTTTATTTTTTTCTTAGGAAAAGCATAGAAATTTAACCATGGAGACTGAATAACTCCTTCATGAATTCCTGTCCGATTTTCCCTCTCAAAACTTTTTTACATGTCTAAAAATTCATCCACTTCAAAGAAAGTGAGGGGGGAGTCACTTTACTGTCAAAATTCGTTGAATTT